AAATGATCCATTACTATTGTGTTCGATTTTCCAATCCAAAGTTCAAAGTACGTGGTCATATATGAGTGAAACTCAGTCTATTCATGCCAGGAAGAAGAGACGAGAGTGTCATCAAGAAGCAAGTTTGACGTCTGTAACTCCAATACTACTTCCAATAAGCCGTTAGGCAACGAATATAATATTACTGAGATAAAAACTAGACATTTCAGACTTGGAGCTAACTTCGCAAAAAGTTTTAAAACATGTAATGGATAGCGATTACAAGTAAAAGACAAATTAAAGACTCAAAGTTGGAGAAAGGAGCAGATCATTACATTTTCATACAAAACGATGACTGCGATATTTCCACCCTGGTTGTTAGAGCATTCTAATAATTGGTATTTACGTTATTATAATTGATTTCTTGAAATGTAAGTATGGGGGTTCAAAACGTACACACTGTATCGTGGTAGCAGCATTTATGTACTAATTATGCCCGTTGGACGTCGTGAAATATAAGTTGGAGGCCAGAAATCTCCAGGCCAACATTTCCTAGGCCTTTCCATCAATTTCCCCAAGTGCTACTTATTCTTTTAATATATGCTCCCAATTCTCAGAGCAATTGTTTTTGTCATACCTTCAGCTTTTAGGACTTCAAGTTAGACCTTGAGCTATGATGAAGTTCGATGATGTTACAAATACTATAAACCACAAACCAAGTGTCTCGACATCATTTGTTACTCTACGTGATTCACCCAAAATTGACACCTTGATGGAACTTTTTGAACAGAATGAATGACCGAAGATTGTAAAAGGGTCTGACAAAAATTATTTAGTTCTGTGAAACAATTAAATGGCGCCTATCCTGACTTTTGACCTGAAGATATATCCCTTTCCTCAACTAATTATACATAGGCAGAAAGCCGGATAATCACTTGTCTATACGCAACCTTGCCGATTTCAAAAATCTTACGCAAGCTCAAAAACATCCATCATTGGTAATTTCGTGAGTATGTCGTGTGGTGTCGAGTCGCGGTTGACTATGAACACCGCTACCAAGGAACGCGTGCCAGGATATCCATAAAATCTCCCAAAAGCGAAATATCAGAAGGCAGTTAATGGACCAAGGCGAGATATATTTGCTGGCGATCTCGTGGTATCGAAAGGATATCGAGATCGTGCCTGGATACAAGCTTGGTTGCAGAACGTAACCGAATTCGCGCGAGGTCACAACCAAAGTGTGTATAATGTATGATTTTAGCACAGTTAAACAAAGAGCACATTAAACAGGCACCGGTACAATTGGTTATAATAATAATAATTCAATGAGAAGACGTAGTTTATCAGAATTATGATAAACTACGTCTTCTCACTGCATTATCGAAATTTATCAAAGGGACTAATTGTTTTAAATAATTATTGTTTTCATCAAACCAATCGTGTTCTCATGATAAAAGTGAGTCACTACAAGTAGTATCAAAATTAACAATTCCAAAACCATTCATGATTTATTGTTGTACAAATGCTTAGTTAATGCTTCAGAAGATTCCGAACTGGAAACTATGAGGAAAGTGAAATAGTAATCGACTATATATTCGAAGAGGTGTTTAGAAGACTTCAGTGTATACAAGTTGCCACAATGTATAATATGTCTGGCAATGAAAGCTTAATGTATGCCGAAAAATACCCTACTACAAGTGTATAGATTGTCATGCTCCTGCTATATGATACGGAGAGAACATGAAGTCCAGACTAATGTGTTCTATTCCATTCTCTATCAGCTCAGTGGCACCACAGAAGCTAATCACCTAATTATTAACCAGTAGCTGCTTATGCGCACTTCATTATTTAAAGAGATTAATATCATCCGTGACACGAGCTCAATTTAACTTCGAACCACCGAAAATGGGCAGACTAACCGACCCAGTCTATCCTTTGGCAACAGTCACAACGATGACGGCTGCACTAACAATAAAGTACTTTCTCTTGCTTATCCTAAAACTAAAGGCTCATTGAGTACGGCTACCGGTACAAAGATCAAGCTCGTATATTAAACAGCTGTAATTATTGATCCTGAGTCCGAACGACCAACTGTCTTCCATTTTCAAGCCAGTAATACCACTGTAATGTCCCAGCGAGACCGATAAATATCTGGTCACTTAGTTTAATAGAAATCTTCGTAGAAATCCTTTTGAAAGTAATAACCGTTTTCTACGGAAATACAAAATCATAAAAAACCCTCTTAAAATAACCCATAACTGTTTTAACGCTCTCAGCCCATAACATGCATCTCTACTCAGCAGTAGCAGATCCTACAACATACGCATATGTTTAACAGTATGCTGTCATTATAGCCTGCAAAAACGCTTGTCTGCCACCAAGCTTTCTCGCCATACTTAAGCTTTTCGGGGCAAACCCTAAACGTTTCTTGAATCATGATACAATTACACATAACATAAACACTTCACTTAGCACTAATCTCCGGCAATTCCTTGCTTCTGACGTGAAACATACAACCTCATTAATTACTGACAACGGAGATAGAATGCCCAATAGTACACAAAACCTACGATGTTGGCCTTCTTGTGCACCCTTCCAATGATTCTAGATTCTACCTGAGTGAAACCCCCATTTTCCTACCTAAAAACAAACACCTTACCCATTTTTAGCATTTCCTCCCAACATTCATGTTATTTTATCCGCACCTATTGACTAGTGAACAAAATAATTCTCCACTCACTAGTTGAGCTAATGATGTATCCAGTTTCATTACCTCTCCAAAACGTCCTGTTATTTCATCTTATTTCTACATTATCTACTATCTTAGATCTCAAGCTCACTTAACTGGTCTATGATGAATTTTAATTACTGAAACCTGGTGGACAAATGGCATTTTGGATTTACACTTCGTGTAGATATTCACAAAATGTACCATAATGTTCAAAATTCAGGCAAAGGTGAAGGTTGCATAATTATGTGTGCGATCTGTTTTCCCATGAAATATATTCTTCTCATAGGGTTGTGGACGGTTAGGTGATGCTACACTCGTCACTGTAGATGATTGTTCCCATCAGCCTTTCATAACAGGTTGCGTTTGTAGACCGCCAAATGCTGCTCATGTGGCGGGTGTACATTTAAATCAAATATGAGCATAATTATTGTCCCTACCTATAGCTAAGTCAGTTGGAGGCTATTTCAACATGCCCTTTGTGTATTGGAATTCACCACATGATCCTACTCATTTTGATGAATTCATTAAAGTGCCAGAAGCAAACAGTTGGACACAGGTGGCCAATAAACTCACTAGAAAAAGGTAGACATATGGGCTTAATTTTCATAAGCAGCGTCCCAACATATTAGTCTTGAATTTTCAGGCATCGCTAACAAAGTTTTAGCCTGTCAACTTATTGAGCGGATGTGCTCTTTCACTTCTACTGGGACGAAATTTTCTGTGGATTCTTGTCAGAAGCTTTTCAAATACTAACTGGTACTATGTCGAAATTGTACTAAGTGATCTAAGTTGGAACAAGTTTTCCTCCTCCAGTGAGGCTAATAATACACTGCATTTTTTTCATTTCACTATCAAGACTTGTTTGGTCATAATCGCTTCAATTATAACGGAAACAATACACTTTCCTCAATGTGATTATTTCACTATCAAGTTCAGATATAAGTTCAGGAAGCCGAGAAAAATGTGCTTTGTTCAACATGACTTTTCGGTATCATCTAAATCTAGTTAGTATTTGAGCAAATTAAAACTTTCGATAGACAAAGGAACTGGAAGTGGAAAAAGTGATTTCAAGTTCACAAAATAAGAATTGATTTTTGACAGCTACTATAAAGAAGAAACTTTGCATTCAGCCTAACATTCCTACTGTCCTTAAAGCGGATGATGAACTTATAAAAAACCCAGCATATCTATGTGAACTTCATAGCGACATATCTGGACAGACATTAATTAAATGTAATGAAGATGAATTTAAAATGCGATCGTTAAAGAAACTCACCAATAGTAAAGTGAAACGCCCACCACCACAGTAACTTTCCTTGACCTTGTATGACTGTGTCTTCTTTATTCACCAATTACAATTCGATGTTCATTATAAAACAATATTTGCTTCGTTGACTCATTTTTCCTATTCTCTAGCTACTGCTCGGTACATTATTTATGTCTTTGTTTTTCCCTGTGGTAATAAACTGTACTGTTTCTCTTGTACACTAACAGTGTTAATTTATGTTTTAGAAACAGATTAAGTTCATCAAGCCAAATAGCTTACTTGTTCTGACTTTGGCTAACCCAAGACTCCGTATTCGACAGTCTATGGAATAGCTTCGAGTTGAACCTGTAGGAAATCGCTTCCTACAATGAAAGTACAATGAGCAGTTTAAGCTCACATACATCCGCAGACCTAGAATTCACGCAGAATACTGTGAGAGATGTGTTAATGGCATTAAAACCTTTTGGAGGTGGTTACGTTGGGATACCGGCTAAAAATGGGCATTCTGACACTAATTATGCCTACTAAAATATTTGCTCTGAGCTTTGAGACAAGCACTTTCCTTAGGCAATAGAAGGTTCGATACATCATCAGATAATTTAAAAGAAGTCTAGATTAGACGTAGACAAATATCGCCCAATCATTCACACATCCGTCGTACTATGGCAATTAATGTTCATCTTGATTAACAACACTTGATCACGTCATCGAAACGTGGCTTTATCTCCAAGCATTAAGGACGAAAAGTCGTTCAGAATAACTTGAATAGGTAACGAACAAAGAAAATGGGAGAAACCAGTTGATAATGTGAATGTTGAGTTCAACAAACCACTAAGAAATTGAGGAAACATTTTCATAACAAAAAACTCTCCAGACATTTTGAGAAATCAAACAGTTTATTAAAACACAAAAATTGCTTTGCCAATATACTGAGGCATTGGACCTGATAGAAGACTTCGTTGCCTATGATAATACAGGTTTGTCAATCTTCTACCCAAATAATGTGAAACTTAAGGTTCTGTTTGAATATCAGCGATGCTAAATATCTCAATTGTCACATGCAAAACAGTGATAAAACAGATTAGCTCAACTTGAGGTTTTCAAAAACAAATATCCATTTGCATTAAACTGAAACAAAGTGAAAATATTGATTAATCATAATAATGTACCTTCCGATCTTCATTGGAACGTGAACGGCACCGTAACCTCGCAAAACATCCTTACCAAAGACGTCAACGCCATAAGCATGAAGGACGATTTGAGGCCCTTTAAAATTCAGAAACATGAAATAACGTACAACCGAATGGGTTTGTAGACTTCCATGAAATGTCAATTGGAAAGTTGAAATTGTTCTGATCATTGCAACCAACACCTTTAATAGAAGTTTGAGTCATCCCTTCATCGAGGCCCTGTCATATTTCTGTTGTATAGGTCATTTTAGAATCTTACGGTTAATTTGGTCCAGTCTTGACCAGTTGCGAAGCAGTACTTGCACCATATATAGTCATGGAGTGGAAACTATGGAATACATCAATAGCTTTAATATCATACGTCAGCCTTTTCAATCTGTCCAGTGACTGACAACAGAAAGTAACCACCTAAACTACCATCAGATGACATTTTTGAAATACTACGGTGCTATGAGCATAGGATTAATGCCCATCTGATGGATACAAACACCAGATATTCGATTTTCAATGTCAAATTAGGGAGCGTGTAAAAACTAATGTGTATTTCCGAACTGATAATTTTATATCGCTAAAGGACTTTTACAATCCATTGTTCTCCGGGCTACTGATTCATGGGTAAACCTCTTAACCTTAACTCTTCACGCTCAACTGTAAAACTTGAGTTATAGATCTTCCGAAACTACAGTTATCCTGCTATTGTTTATTAGGCACTAAAACTTAATCGACACATTTGAATCAATTCTCTGTGTGATGGTTCCATCAAAGAAGAGGAGTAGCCAAACATGTCAGACCTGGAAAACGGTCGAGATTTTTTTTGGGATCATTTTAGAATCTTACGGTTAATTTGGTCCAGTCTTGACCAGTTGCGAAGCAGTACTTGCACTATAAGTAGGTACTGGGATTGGCTCTGTATCATTATCATTGTACTTTACCATCTGTTTACGTTGTGTTTGGAATGGAGCGAGCCGTCAATATAGTGAGTTATTGATCCCAAAGAACTTTAGTTTCACGAGGTTTTTGTGTTGAGCCTTATTAAAAGCTTCCCTGAAGTCTAAGAATGGGGCTGATACAAAGGCGTTTTCGTCTCATTTCAAATTTAGATAATTCAGGTAGTCCACTGGGCATGTATCGTATCACTTAGGCACCAGAAACCACGCTGGGATGTCGAGACGGAATTATTAGTATGTAGCTGATGGACTACCGCCGCCTTAGGTACTTTTTCTGCCACTTCAGATACCAGTGAAGTCGTGTTTATGGGCTAGTAACTTAAAACGTTTGCTTCAGGTTCTGTCGTAATTTTGGGGATGATTTGTGTGATTTTCCAGGTAGTAGGGTAACACGCTGTAGAGAGTGATACCGCAAATAGTTTAGGCGGTATAACATACAGATCGTTGCCTCCGCTTTTTGGCCTGCTAGCTGGAATACCACCTAGTGTAGGAGTGTTTCAGCGTACTAATCACCTTTGGAATATTCTGAGCGTTGAAGCCTACATAAGTAATTTTGTAACAGCTTAGGTTGGTTGGTTAAGAGTTGACCCCAAACAACCATGCATATACCAAAACAGTATTGTTCAAGTATTCATTCACTTCCTTATTTTGTATAAGCGTTATATTCCCTATTATCTTATATTGAATGTTGAGAGCCTTTGTTTGTCTGAACAGATAATCTCACGCTCCACTGTGACTGCGCGAAGATCGAAATAAAGACCTATTCACTACTTCTCTGGTTTCTTCTATCAATAGCACGAGGGTTACCTTAAGGCACGAAAGTGGTGAGCCCGACGTGATGACTTAATGATGACGTAATGACTTAACCAGTTTTCCTGCAGCATGCTTTTTAGTGTCATCATATAACCCATCTTTATTGGCAATATTCAGATTTTTTTTAAGTTTCTGACATTTAAGAATCAATAACCGTGAAGATATAGTACAGTGCGTTACTGTAAGGTTACTATGTTAGCCGCATTGATTCCACATACCTAATTTTAAACACAACTTATAAAGGAACTGTTTAGTAATCATAACAGTGAACTGACGATATGAATATCACGACTATGCTAACGTTAATCCAATTATTATTAGTGGCCCATACAAAGTTCTGGAACTTAACATTAGCGTAATAAAAATGACATGTTATGTCAATAACTGATATATATATATATATATTGGTTTAAATATAACGTAAGATGAAAATTTAATAAACTTGTGGTTTTTTTTCTATAGTAATAATATTAATGTAAACAAAGAACTTATACTTTTCCAATATGGCACTTTAATATATCAATCTGTCCTCTTGTCATTTTTTCTCTCATATGTGCGCGACTTACGGGCAACAAACATCGTATTGAAGGTGGGTCTGGTGAACAAAAACGCAGGCCCCACACGCACTCGAACCTCTGCCCTCCTGAATGCTAGACCGCGTGCTTAGCCGTTAAACCACATCAGACCACGGAGGAAGTGACTTCAATATTTCCTTACACCAATTATTCACTCATTATACTAATGAGTAACAGGACTTACACACTTCTGAGGTGCAAACCAATTCGTTACTTGGATGAATTGACGAAATATTGCTTCAATATATCATGCATACCTAAACGAAACCAGAAAAGTGTATTTGACACAACTGTACTTGATCCGCATACTCTACACAATTTTTTTTGCTTCTTAACCGTATATTCTTTTCCGTTTTGTGGAGTACTCTGATGCACCCTTGGTTACACACCTAGTTGTAAAAGGCGGTCATCACAGGCTCAAGGTCGTGCGTTTGATCGATTTTGTTAGAGTCCAACTTCTAGCAAGTTCACCCTTTTACATATATGCATTACAAAAAAGTATATTTGTTTTTGTTTTCATGGTTTTTCGTGCACAAGATGTCTACACTATGTCTATTTCCTTCCAGAATACCAATCCGTTCTGGAGGCCAAGGACTTACATGGAGCCGAGCAATTATCAATTACATTTATGTATTTCCATTTTGTATCTTATTATTTTATGCAGGCAGTGGGGTAGTTCTTCAGGTTTGCTTGATTTTCACCATTACCTTTGAAGTAGATTCTTCTTTACCTTTTACTTGAGGGTGACTCAAGAGGCAGGTGAGTAAACACCTGATAGCCGGTCTGAGCATAGAAAAATCGTATCTCACCAACCTGGTGTTGGGTAGCCCGCTCGCGGCACTTCCTCAGATATTCTTGTTCCACATACTCACACTTTCTCTTGAAAGCACGCAGCAAACCGTCAGCGATAGTTGTAGAAGAAATCACATGCTACAAAATAAGATGACAAGCTAGTAAATGAGGAGACATCCATGGACTATCGTTGACAGCGTCAGTCGTCACTGATTGTAAGTCAAATAATGAGCGAGTTGATAATTTTCCATTGGGATGAGAAATAGAACTAAGGTGTTTCCGATAGATAGGTTAATCAAACCGACGTTCCTACGGAAGTCGATTCTAGGGGGAAGCTAATGTAACAGCTTAGGTTGGTTGGTTAAGAGTTGACCCCAAACAACCAAGCATATACCAAAACAGTATTGTTCAAGTATTCATTCACTTCCTTATTTTGTATAAGCGTTATATTCCCTATTATCTTATATTGAATGTTGAGAGCCTTTGTTTGTCTGAACAGATAATCTCACGCTCCACTGTGACTGCGCGAAGATCGAAATAAAGACCTATTCACTACTTCTCTGGTTTCTTCTATCAATAGCAGAAGGGTTAACTTAAGGCCCGAAAATTTCACAGGAAGGTACTGGTTTGTCAGTGAAATGGAACTTGTAGTGGCATTAGACAATAGCCACACAATCCACAAAGCTGTGAACACGAGACTGCTCAGAAAGTAGATATTCAATATTTAACGCGGATAAATACCGAACGATGGAGAAGGCGCGAATAATGAATTGAATGGGCTGGGGTTGATCGAGTGGCATGGCTCGGCCATGCAGGCGTGGTCTCTGCTGAATGTTACCTTATATCTTCTATTCATATTAAATATATTGTTCTTTCTCTAGACTAACCTTGTTCTACATCGTGTATTGGTAATTGATACGATACAGTGAGTTGGTGTAGTCGATGGTGTGACTTCCACGGAAGATCTTATAGATTAGGCAGTTATATCATGACAAATCTACAAATTTAGGATTAGGTCTATTATTAGAGCAGTACTAATATCATAGTAGACCATAGTTCTACATTGGTGAGGCCAACTAAAGAAACGCAACCTATTATTGTTAATCCTTATTTCCACCTTAACCTTCTCAATCGGTTTTTATTTTTGTAAACCCAGTATTTTAATAGTCCTTTGATTAATGGTCACATATATTATCGTAATGTTATATCTATTAGTTCACATAACTTACTAGCTCAATCGATGATAAAAGTTGATCATCTATATCAACTAATTAGCTTTGATGGTTCGTTAACAAGCTTTAATAGCATTTACCTGCTTCAGCGACATAGACTTGTTTAAACATCAAGCTCTAGCAAATATGATCTGTAAATAGCGTAAATATACATTGACTAGCACTGCAATCAAGGACTAAATAGTTATCTGGATCTAATTCTCAGTGTTCCTTCACTGAACTCCTCATCCTGTTTTAAACTATGCACTATCCTGTAATATCTTTTCTTCCGACCACTGCCTGCCTAATTTCATATTCTCGAGTTCCATTGCCAAACAACAAGGATGACACCTCCAAAAACATACGGTGAGTTTCAGCTATAGGATTTCTGCAATCATAAGGTCTTTTTTTTAGATGGTTCGTTCAATGACAACCACACAATTATCTGGATTCATTCGATTGTTCTGATCCAAGCGAGTGGCAAAAACGTCAACAGCATCAAGCACCCTGGAAGTGATTACCATACTGCATGTTTTATTCTGGATGCTTTTCGATCAATACTACTCACGAATGGCGTTATATATGTCGTCCACTGAATAATCTAGTTTTCGAAAATAATCAAGGCGAGTTCAACTATTTTACTGGATGATTTTTTTTAATACTTAACATGTATATGTTTTTCAGTTGCTTTTGCCATATATTTGTAAGTGTCACTAAGCTAAATGCAGTAACTTCTTATGGAATGTTTATAACGCATCATATTCCTGCCTGAAGTTTCATAAGCAGTCTTGACTTTAAAATTATTTTCTGGTCATGTTCATTATTTTTAAATCGTCATATACTTCAACAACCTGCATGTTAACCTGGCCCGTACATACGTTTTACTATATCTTCATATCTTTTGAATTTAGAAATCATCTGAATCGCCTTTAACATTTATCAATAAACCCATCATAGTCGTTGTTGCTAATCGTATTTGGGTTTATGGATTGGTTTATCATATTAGCAGCCTAAAATGCGAACATAGTTTAGATAATAAGATTAAAAATTTAGGTACTATCAACTGCACTAGTAAAATAACTAAATCCCTAGGTAGCTGTTGGCTAAACAAACGTTTAAAATCAAAA